ACAAAACAAGATGAAAACCCTAGAAAAGATATCCCCAGACAGAGAAAGAAAAAGGAGCAGTGAGGTGTATTCCTTTCTCCTGGAGCCAAAAACATCATTATTCAAGATGATGGCCAAGGTCAAGAGAAAGAAACTGAAGGTCAGAAAATGAAGGACATAAACACAGGTACTGCGGAAGAAGCAAAGAGCAGACCAAGGAGTGAAGAGACTGAACTGAAGAGGCTGCAGACTCACATGCCAATAGTGAGCCTATCTCATGATAAAGACAAGAAAACACGGTCCAAAGATGAATCCTCTAAGACACAAGTCTGAGGAACACATGGCAAAGAACAATCTTCTCATCAATAAGGAAGCAGCTAAGTTCATCTAAAAATGGTGAAGACAGACACAGCACATAGAAAGGAAATCATCATGAGGCAGAACATCTCAACACCACTCAACATCTAGATCTCATGAAAGTCTCCATTGAAGTAAGAAAGGAAGAAGTCTTGATCCAGGAATAGGGATCAAAGAAGTCTCAGTCCAGGATCAGAGATAAGGAGAAGTCAAGGTCTAGAAGCAGGGATAGAAAATGATCGATCAGAACACATTCAATCAAGATCCAGACACAAGCTCAACGCTAGAACAAGGAGCCGAAGTTGAGCTAGAAGAGATTGGGAAGCCACAAAGAGTAGCTGAAGCCTAAACCGACACCTAGTCCATCCCCTTCAGAGGCAGAAAAACAGCAATGGACACCTAGGAAGCTTTAGTTCAGAGATTGGAAATGGAAAAGAAATTGCAAGAACAACAGCACAAGCCTATGATTGGAAACAAAACAACAAGAAACGGTTTCAAGAGTTGCAGTTCAAGAATCTGGGGGTTCCGTTCTCAGTGTTGCTGTGATGTTGTGCTTGGGAACCCAAATGACTCCTCAGATAGCTGCTACAAATGCTCAAAAAAGGCCCTGCAAGCTAACACCTGGGCAGAGACATGCATAGCTGTTCCTGGCGACTGTAACCAAGAGCGGTTTGCTGAGCAAGAGGAAGAAAGGGAAAGGCTGTGGCCAGAAAGAAGGCAACAATGCTCAGACTGCCAGAGTGTGACAAAATGGAGTTCTAGAAACAAGGACCGGAATGTCAAATGTAGAAACTTAGGAGCATTAAGCGTGATGAAGCTGGCTGGCTAGAGCTCAGTTTATAAAGAAAGCTACAAGACATTGAAGCCAAAATAAGTTTTTCAAAATCTCAATACTCAGTACAAAATGGTAAGATCACAAATGCACACACAAAGAGGAATGGGTTTGAGCTTCTCATTGTCAATGCACAGAATAGATACAGTTTGAAAAGGATCAGCTTGGGACTTTACAAGGTCTTTGTTCACCAAATAGCTAGCATTCTAGCCTGGATGGGTGTTGCACTGATTTTAATTTATTGAAAAATATGATTTTGTTTATAAATAGCAGATAAGTGATACTGGTGTTGGTGTTTGTAAATAAGGTTAAACTCACTTCCATTGAACTTGACAGAACTATAAAAAGACAATATTTGTTAGCTCATGAACTCTACTTTTCAAATATATAAAAACTTGAGGTGGCATAATATCTCATACATAGACTTCTTATGTTTGATGTCCTGTGTACTTTTACAATTAAGCTTGTAAGTTATTTTTATCCATTGATACATGGAAGAAATGTTATGTGGATGCTCTGTAGAAGAGTTGGCCATTGATAATTAAAATGGTTTTCTCAAAAAAAAAATCTGTGGAAAGGAGGTTGAGTCTGGACAGAATTAGAGAATCAAATTCAATAAAACAAAGATACTCTATTGATATAATGCTTTAATCTGTGCCATCTTAGATTACTTCTGACTCCTTGAAAAGATAAATGCCTGTAATATTTATCCCTGATTCTCACATAGTATTTACATACCCTATGAGATACAGAATATCTCTAGGCAAATCTAAAAGTGTTCTAATATCTTTCATTGTGAAAGTGTATGTATACATATTTATAACTTGTGTTATATGTAAATTGAGGTGGAGGAACTTTATGTTATAGAGACAAAGTAAAAACTTCAGCTAATAAAGCCTGTTAAGAAAACATAACTAAGTGATACTTTTGGATGGGTTTAATAAGTTAATTTCATATAACATATTGAGTAAAGAATAAGAATTTTTTTTATACTTAATTCCTAATCCTACCACATAACACCCATGTAGCCTTACTAGCACATCTTCCCCTAAGGCTTAGAATTTAAGCTTCAGACAATCTTACCTATTAAATAAGATAATAAATAGAACCTGTTTTGTAAGGAAACCTTAAAGATTAAGTGGGTTAACACAAAAAAGCAGTTAGAGCTCAGGAAGCAGTCAGAACTTAATGTAGTTTTATTTCAATGTGACTGTTTTACAAAATGCTTTTCAAGTATGAATAAAATATATGATCATAAGGTAACACCATTACAGTTGTACTGGTATGCAGTGATTTTTCTATCTGTAAAAGTGACAAGAATTACTAAATATGGATGTGAAATTTTTATTATTTATTCATATTGTATGGATTAAGAAGCCATGGGGATTGATAAATCCTTTGGATAAATCCTTTCAGTTTAAGGCATAACTATATTTTAATGAAAGAACATGCTTATAGTTGACTTCATTCCTGTCTTAAAAATTATGTAGATTCACTATTTTAGAACTTTAAAAAATAATATTACTGGTGATCATCAAATTTTGGATTTTATCATTACTTTGGTGTTTCCATAATTCTACCATCTTGATAACTAAGTCTGAGCCACATAGAAATTTAAATTTCTATTAGTTTGTGCCTTGCTTAAGTACACCTGTCTAGAAGGACAGTTATGAATCCAAAGTATTGAGCAAGGTTGGCAGTTAACCTGAAGGTGTTCAGATTATTTGTTCCCATAACTAAACAACAAACATAGTATAAAAAAACATACCCTACCAAGAACTTCCCAGTTTTTGGAACTGGAACCTTTCAAGTTTACTGAAAATTATACCTTAACTAATACCTATGTGCTTACTATCTAATTTTATCATCAACACTTTGCTATACTTGCTTCAGATGTTTTTATAATAGTAGATACATTATAGGTACATTTGGAGCCTTTAAAACTACTTCCACATCGACCTAGAACATTTACTTAATTGAATTTAATATTTATACTTCCTATGTCTTCCTGTGATATTAACATAGATGTCTTCTGTACAAATGTACCCAGTGATTTATACAATTATTTAATGATTTTAAATTCATATAATGATAACTTAACATTGAAATGTTTATCATTCTGTAAAACTTTAAATAAAAATATTTTCAAGTATTTGATTTAATTCATCCTGTTGCTTACTGGTTCACTGATTGAATATATAAGTACATATTTCACTTATTAACTTTAGTAGAAATAACATTGTGGTGAATAGTTTTGAATAAATTCCTTTTGTACAAGTGAGAAAATTCTCTGAGGTAGAAGCAGAATTAGTAGAATTGAAATATCCTGGAGATATATATATATATATATAATAACTTAAACTTCACTAGATAGTGACAAAATTATAGACAAAATATATATACAAAGTTATAATTTCATGAGAATTCTGTTCATTAAAATCATTGTGTAAGCATTTCTTCTAAAGCATCTGTAATTTATCTTTATTGACGAACATTAAATCCTGTTCTTACTTTTGTACACTCAAATGGGACGGTTAGAACTGAGAAGGGCCTGGAATCAGTTTGTCATGGCTAACGTGAGGTTTGGTGAGACACAAAACCCACAGCTCAAATTTCACTGCATATTACAGTACAGCCTTCAAAAATCAATGTTCAAGCCTTATCCCAGAATAATTACATTGTATTCTCCTGGAGTGGAAGGGGTATGGAGTCTTGACTGTCTTTAAGGAAAAGTAGCCAGTAAATTTAGACAAGTATCCAAGACGACCTAGTAAATAGATGACACCTACCAGAAATAAAATATTATTTCATCAGTGAGATGTAAACTAAGATGGAAAATCCAGAAAAGGTGAAGTTAAAGAAAGGCCTTGCCTGTGGGATCACCATGTGTTAATCACAGATAGCAGTTGCCTAGTTCCAGCTCCAGCCACCAGTTCATGCCAGCTGTATATTTAATTCGGATACATTTTCAGTCTCAGTTGGTGAATGTATATATACAATATAAGCTTCTAATGATTGCTTAGAGACAATGGAAGAATTGGGGATTCATTGAAATGCCCCAAGTTACAATGAATGAAGGAAGATTTTAATTTAGTTTCAATTTTAACGTAAACTAGTGGCATAAGACATTCAAATCTGCTTCATAACCATGGTAAATATCATACTTTAAAAGGAGTTTCAAATACCTTTTGGGAAAGTTTTTGAAATTTCATCTATTATAAGAGCCATTTGTCTTTATTTTTCTGTAAAGGCAATCATTTCTTTACCTTTCTTTCTTTCTTTTTAAAAAACAAAAGAAAACAGGGTCTAATGTAACCCAAATCGGGTCCAAAGTAAGTATATAGCTGAGGAAGCTGAATTCCGTTTCCACCTGGGATTGCTGGTGTCACACTCTTGTGCCACAATGCCCTTCTCTTGATACCATTACTTTTTAGGCGCGGTCGGGGGGAAACAATTTAGCTTTGTTGACAAGATTAGGTGTAAAACTATCAGAAAGTTGGACTATATTACTATTTATGAAGCACAAAGATATTAACATTATTATATAGTTAATGTAAGTCTCTCCCACATTTAGGAAAAAGTAAATTTTATTAAGTATAGTCCAAAGTCATGCAGGTTCTTTAAAAACATACTCAGTAATACAAGCAAAACTCAAGACACCCAATATATTTTCAAAATGTCATTGTATGTTCAACTTGAAGTTGAGTTTCAAGATGCAGTGGCCACACAATGGTATGAGGCCACAGATCTGGCACATGCTGCATGTCCTTCCGTGTGACCAGGAAGTCATCAGTTAAATGTCACACTAACTCTTTTCTCTCTTCCAATTCAGTGCTGAGCACAAGAGAAGAACTAAATATGTCCAGAAAAGTCTTAATCCTGAATGGAATCAGACAGTAATTTATAAAAGTATTTCCATGGAGCAGGTATGTAATTATTATTTTATAAATGACAGATGTAGGCTGATGTAAGTGTAATGATGACAATATTATGGAAGAGTCAGGGCCTCTATCAAGGTTTCCCACACACAGTAAGAGTCCATTAAAGACACGAAAGAAATATATTCAGTGATAATAAATGAGGAAAGTTCAAAGGTAAAGTAAAAACAAATGCTCATATTTTAATAAAGCAGCCAAAACATGAACAAATAATTTAGTGAAATGAGGCTTTTAAAATATTTTTAAATGAAACATTTTCAATAGACTGGGACAGATTTGCACATTGGGAGGAAATATTTTCAGCTGGCTGTATTTGTTTATTTTTTTCAGAAGGAACATACAAAAATAAGATAAAATGTGTTATTTATTCTACCCAACTATGACATAGGAATTCATTTCTGTAAATTGAAGTTTCCCAAGAGGAGAAAATTAAAATTAAAATTGTGAAGAAAGTGTAATTGGTGACTACCATAAAACATCAAAACCAAAAATAAGTGTTTGGAGACAAAATTATATTAGTGCATATTTTTTAATTTAAAAGAATGTGAATTCCATAACTGCCATAAATAACAGTAGATAAATATCCCTTTAATGTCAGCATTTGGGAAGCAGAGGCAGGCAGATCTCTGTGAGTTCAAAGCCAGTCTATTCTACAGAGCGAGTTCCAGGATAGCCAGGGCTACAGAGAGAAACCCTGTCTCAAAAAACAAAACAAACAAGAAAAAGAGCAAAAAGAAAGAAAGAAACAGAAAAATCATAAGATAAGATAATTTACAGGAAACAGTCTTTCAAAACGAGGTTCTGGTTTGCTCTCTGGAAGGTGAATATGAATATAAAGTTATAAATTAATATTAATCTGAGTTCTTTAAAAAGTTAAATTCTACAGAAGTAAAAATGCTTCATTTTTGGCAATGATTGAGATGAAGAAAAATGTAAATGCTTTAGATTCATGGCTTTCATATATTTAGCGAGTATAGACTGCTTTTTGTTAAGTGAGTAGTAAGAATGACATGAGCCGGGCGGTGGTGGCACACGCCTTTAATCCCAGCACTCGGGAGGCAGAGCCAGGCGGATCTCTGTGAGTTCGAGGCCAGCCTGGGCTACCAAGTGAGTTCCAGGACAGGTGCAAAGCTACGCAGAGAAACCCTGTCTCGAAAAACCAAAAAAAAAAAAAAAAAAGAATGACATGAAGTGAACGTGTCCAGTTTATTCACAAAATAATGAGGTCTCCTATAATCAAACACTAGATTGAACTACAAATTAATCATTACAATTTCACACAACATTTAATGTAGAATCTTAAGTAAAATACCAAGTACTTTCATAAAATGAAAAGAATTCAAGGTGAGAATCATCTAAGAATATACTGAAATGCATGTTGGAGATATGGGGTTGATGACCGCTGTATCTGAATGCAGCTCATGAAGAAGACATTGGAGGTGACAGTTTGGGATTATGATAGATTCTCTTCCAACGACTTCCTTGGAGAGGTAAGTCTTTCATTTCCTTTTTTATGCTGTCCCCATATGCCACAAATTAAAGCATGATGAAAAATAATTTTTTTTGCATTTACACAATAGTGGCTCCTGACCAACATCTTTTGGTGGGTAAGTTAATTTCCTGAGTTACTTTTTGAATAGGTAAATAGAAACTTGAGAAGTGATTTTCCGTCTACCATTTGATGTACTTTTTAATTTGGTTAAGATTAAATAGTTTTTTAGCAGGAAAATAAAAAAATCACAATGTGGTTACAAATGAGATCTAAGATAACAAAAGAATTAAAAACTAAGCTGGATTTTTTTTTAAGGCAATACCAGTTTCTTGAATTGCTCTTCCTTACATATAGAGATGTAACATTTCACATTGCTATTGATGATTAAATATCATGCTAAAGGTTTTCAAATGCCTTAAAAGTTAAAACTAGATGCAAGAGAAGACACTTGAAGTAATTATTATATAACTTTGTTAGAAACCACATAGGTCTAAGAACAGAATCTGGGAGAGTGAATGGACCTTTGGGTGTTTTCATCAACAATATCAAAAAGCCATGACATTTATTTAGTGCTTTTACATTATATGTATGTACACACTATATGTATATGATTTCCAGGAAACCTAAAGCTTACAAAATGTGATGCTTTCTTGCTCGGAACTGTGTGTGCTGCATGTGTTGTCTCTATAATGAGGGCTTGTTTGAATCTACAGATACGATTCCTCTCTTTCCCATCAAATCCGCACCACCAAAGCCTGGCATTCAGAGTCCTTCCTAGTTCAGCCACTATACTAGTGTTGATTGTGTGCAAAATTATTCTAGAATAACAGGTTTTAAATTATAAATAATAATTTATAAAAATATAGATAGGTTATATTTGGTTTACTGTCGTATTTCAAAATATTGACTTACTGAAGTCCTTCTGATTTACTCTTGTTTATATAAACCTAAATCATATATCTACATTATTTATTGTTTATGGACTCTAAAATGTCAATGACTGTTAAAAACACAATATGTGTGTGTGTGTCCCATTACAAAAGGAAGAATGCTAGATAAGCCGTGGCACAATGCTTTCTCATCATCACCTGGTAGTCAGATCTCTACTTAAAACATTAAAATGTGCTTTAAATGGAAGAAATAAGCTGGAATTGCAAATTACTCATTCTTTTCCTTCTTTTATTTTTGCCCATCTTCTGATCAAAATCATATATTTCTTCTGAAGTAAAAATAATTTGATAGAACAACCCAAAACAACTTGTGTTTCATAAAAATGATGACTTATGACTCTGATCTTTTCATATTACCCAAGTAAATTAGGGAATAGTCGAAGAAATGATATAGTTCAGTTTAATCCCACATTTATTAAGCATCTCAATATCTTGGCTGAGGAAAAATTAGTAAATACACAAAGAAAGGTGGGAGAGACATCCCCCCCTAAGGCTGTGTCACTCACCTGTCACATCCTTAGTAAGTGTTAGGCCATGGAAAAACTACCAAAGCAGCTATAGCTCAATCCGTGTGCTTTACTGCTTCCTTGTCCTTTTCCAGGTATTGATTGATCTATCTAGCACATCTTACCTGGACAACACTCCTCGGTGGTACCCGCTGAAAGAACAGACCGAGAGCATTGACCATGGCAAGTCTCACTCCAGTCAAAACAGCCAGCAGTCCCCAAAGCCCTCTGTCATCAAAAGCAGAAGCCATGGCATCTTCCCTGACCCATCCAAGGGTAGGAGACATTTCAAGTAGAACACAGTTGTTTGTCTGTTTTTTCAGTCAGTATCTTCCTGAGTTTGAGTGCCTCTGTGTTTAATATGCATGGTGAAGTTTAGTTCCATTGGGAGAATTAATGTGGTATCATGAGAAATGCGCTGTGAATTAGGAAGAACGGGCTTTGAGCACATATCAGTCCATGCTGAGGTGTTGGCTTTGCCTTCTGCGTTTCCTCGTTTTGTAAAAATGAGATTGGACTACATAAGCTAACTATATTTCTGGAAATCCATCCTAATAGGCTTTTAGAAAATTCACTGAGCTATTTCATGAAACAATATGAAATTCCTTCTAGTATGTTGCCTAGAACCATGACCGTCATTACCATTGGGTAGGTTCCTTTCAACTGTTTGGATCTCTGAATTCTCATACAGTCAGTCTACAAAGAAAATTTTACATTCTGTTTTTACTTTTCCTATGAAAATCATTTTCCCATTTCATCAAAACAAATGGCAATTCAAATTCCTCAAGTCTTTCCTAGATGCTGGATTCTGATTAATTTTTAATTTAAGTAAGTGTTATTACACATAGGATTTAGCAACAGGCACAGCATCTTTATTGGGATGAATTTTCCCTTTATTTTTTAACAATTATTCTACAACATAAGACTAATATATAATGTATATATGTAAATATCATCAATCTATATAGGAGAAACATGTGGTTACTGGATACATTATTTATAAGTATTAAAGACAATTAGTGAGCACTTCTTCCTTCTGAGAGTGCTTTTGTATACATCAGAAGGGGACAGATAGTGTGAAAATGCTCTAGAGGATGAAAAGCCGAGGTCACATCTAATAGGCCACTGAGTTAATATGACTGAGAACCACTGACAACAGACACTTTAGAAGATGATTTATGTATTTTTTTTTAGACTGGGTTTGGATTCCACATATCCGTTTCAACTTTGCCATGCTCAACCTTCTGGAAAATGATTAGCATAAAAATCTCATTCTTCTCTCACCCTGGTCTAGTTCTCTGCATCCATACATTCTGCTTCCTAAGACAATGAATCGACAGACGCTCTATTCCAATATGTGCTAATCTGCTCATCCGACATTTCACTATTCCAATATGTGCTAATCTGCTCATCCGACATTTCACTATGGTTTTACTTAAGCGTGTCCTGCAGCTGAATAAACCACTGTCTTTTACCAGCCTCTACAAGAATGAGCAGAGCTGCTGGGGAAGGACTGAGGCAAGCATCTATTACCTGAGGCTGCTTACAACTCATTCTTGATGAATAAGTCACTTCTCCAGGCTGGGCTCCCTTTTCTTCCTTCCCTGAATTGCTTTCAAATCTTCAATCACATTATTGTATGGTTTGAAGTTGCATAAGACCCATGAAAGATAGCATTAATGTAAATCTTAAACAGTTTCAAATTATGTGTAGACTAGTCTTTGACAGCAGGGGGAGCTGGGGAGCAACTTTAACTCATTTTTTATCCTTTCATAACCAGACATGCAAGTTCCCACCATTGAGAAATCCCACAGTAGTCCTGGTAGCTCAAAATCATCATCAGAAGGCCATCTTCGATCTCATGGACCATCACGCAGTCAAAGCAAAACCAGTGTCACTCAAACCCACCTGGAAGATGCAGGGGCTGCCATAGCTGCGGCCGAAGCCGCCGTGCAACAACTCCGCATTCAACCAAGTAAAAGACGCAAATAAATTCCTCAGCATGGCAGCTTAATGTTCATCTGTTGCCTCTCTCTCCTGCTGTCTTTCCCTGTTTGCTTTCTGTTTTTTGGCATCCCCTGCTCACTCTGTTCTCTGTCCTTTTGTCTGTGTAAGAACAGTATCAATACATAAATATGCTCTTCCGCCTTTCGTTTTTCTTTTTCTTTTGATTTACATAGACAAATAAAACTGGCTGTTTCTCCTTTGTTCCCACCATCCATCCAATCTGGCTCATAGTATTTGGTAATCATGTCTGTGAGTTTGCAGGCACAGCAGTGTTGTGTGTGTGTGTGTTTGTGTGCACTTCCTTCTCCTTTAGAATACATGAACTACAAGCACAAGCGACTGCCAGTTTCCTAGCATTATCCCCACAAGAGCAAGCACAGGACACACACACACACACACACACACACACACACACACACACACACACACACAAGTCAGGTTAGCAATGAGATACTTGGACCTGAAAACACTCAACATTTAAGCAGATGCTTAGTGAGACTAATAGTCAAATTCCAGAACCTAGGTAAAAAGCCATTTGAAGCAATGTTTAAAAACAGGATGCATGGGAAAAGAAGCTAAAGTATGAACCTCAAAGTCTCCTGAGGAATCTGCAGAAATTCATGTTCTCAAAAATACATACTTTTCCTATGCATATAAGCTTAAGTGGTGAGGCAATGTAATCTCATTAAGGGGCACAATCTGGTCCATTCTGTTGGATCACACTTTGTACAGAATAACAGAATTTACAGATTATTTTTTTTTCCTAATCAGTGGACTGTTTTAAAAGTCAAGAAGTGCCATGTCTAGTAGTTAGTCCGTTAAAGTCTAGCCATCCACTCATCTTTTATTGATGAGTTTTCACTTGTGATATTTTCTGATACAATTCTATAAAAGTCTGAGTGCAGATGTTTCCTGGCTATAGATACACTGTCCCTTCCGAGCAGCATCAGCCAGGGCATGAAAGTAGCTTCTTCTTTTCCTCCTTTCTCTGGTCATCATTTCCAAGGAAACAGCCAGTTTTAATCCCCTTCAGTGCTGTGCATGTGGTGTCGTTTTGGCATTTGAAAACACGGTTTCAGCAGAACAAAAGCACACTTCTGTTTGCATGAATAACATCGAAGCTGGTTCCATCTGAGGATACACTCTGGGTTTCCATTTCACCCACACTGCCACAGCAGCACATAAAAGCGGTCAGTGTAATCATGCCAGGAAGCAGCACAGACACAGCATAGCAGGCGTCCTCCCCATTCAAAGAACTCAGTCTGATACTCTGCCTCCACCAGCCAATGGCAACCAAGACCAAAGCCAGCTAGCCCTCAGGAAGGTGATGTCCGATGGACCAGTCAAACCAGAAGGAGGTGAGCAGAAAGGCCCTGTTCAAAGCACACAGCCAGACCGTCCCCCAAATTTAAAGCTCTCAACCGTAATTTTTAGGGATTGTCTAATGAAATATGTTTATCCCCTTTTTAATGTGCTTTTGTGGGCATGGCATTTTAGGATTTCATCATCACCATGTAAGTCCCAAGATCAGTCTCATAATATATTGACTACAGTGATTTGTATTTTTCTATGCACTGGGCGTCTTTTGACTTTTGTTGGAAAATAGTTTAACAGTATTCATATTGCAGAATGGAATGCATGCAACTAACCTAATCTGTTCAAGCATGACTATAAAATATGTTGCATTGTGATAAAAGTTTACATTGCTCACAATTCAAGTTAGCATACCAGTTGGAATGTAGATACAGTTTTTGTTGCGTATATTTGACGTGTAACTTTTGGAAATGCTTGGAGGAAAGCAAAGGAAAAATTGTTAATGCACTCATTCACCACGGCACAGAGGAAGTTCTCTCCTGAGCCTACAAGCCGACATCTGTGCGTGTTTCCTTAGCTGTTAAGTGTACCAGCTGTGTTGGGCATGTGAATATCCAAGTGCCTGTGTAATAAATAAAGTATCTTTATTTCATTCATAAACTACTGGGTTCTGAGCCATTGTTATGTGATGCAGCATAAAATGAGTGTGTCGGCTTTGTTTTTATTTTTTCTCCTTTAATTCCTTTCAGTAGGATTTGGTCACTGATACATGCTAGTTAGAGCTATGATGACAGAAACATTTGGGAGCCTGGAAACACACTGGAAACAACCTAAGCTGGAAGGCAAAGCCTTACAAAATAAAAGCAGAGCTCACGTGGAAACATAAATGATTGATGGAGTTGGCTAGTAGCCCCGCTTTCACTTTTCCTAAACTCTTCCCCTTGTCTGGTCTAGTGGACAGTCTTCTCAGATTTTTGCAGAGAGGAAGGAACATCCCATGAGTCCCTGCTTTGAATATGCAGCTAACTTTGATGTCTCAGCGATAGTAAGAAAGGAGAAAACTGATAACTGTGGCTATCAGTTGACCCCAACGTCTGGAGTTTTCACACAACTAAGAGTCACTGCCCATGACAGGAATCAAACTAGTACTGCTTTAATTTTTTTCTCCAATTTAATTCAAAATCACATCTAAAAATAATTTATCTAAAAATTAGTGTTTTTCTTAAATAATTTCCACTCCTGAAATACTCAGTTTTACATATCTTCCATGAGTCAAAATTATACCTTCCGTCCTCCTACAGCATTTCTGTTTATTCTCAGAAAATTCAAAACGTATGATGTGCTCCACTCACACACACCAGACATGTGAGGGCAATGGGTTCTTGAGGAGACACACAGGCAATCCACTGAGGGCCCCTTTAGATGTCCAGTTGGCTAAGGAAGCAGATAGCCTAAAAACAACACTGAATATATGTTTTCCAGCTCAGTTTAAAGACTGACACCAGAGTGCAATCTCCTTTTCCTTGTTTGTCTTCATAGAATATTCTGAACATATTTAAAATACTACTCCTTCCCAGGCATAGTGCCAGATGCTTTTAATCTCAACACTCAGAGGCCGATCTTGTGAGTTCTAGGGCACCCAGCACTACCTAGTGAGACCCCATTTCCCCACAGAAGATGAAGAAAAACAAAAGAAAAGAATTCTACTTCTTACCTTTTATCCTTTCAAATTACTTGAGTTGATCTCCAGTTACTCATTGTCTTACTTGAGATACTGCATTGGCTTTAAATGTCACAATAACCATATTTCTGCCTTATTTTTAATATTGTGATTTAGTTATTATTATTTAATTGTAAGATTTTAATTATAGACTTGTTCTTAAAGTTTGTATGAAAATAATTTACTTCATTTTCTTTGCATAATGCTCAAATATATATTTACATTTAAAGAGCTATAATTGAATTAGAAGTCACTCTTTATTGATTTCAAATCAGAAGGAAAACTAAGTAACAGCATTTTTCTTATTTATTTTGTCCTAATAAATGAAAAATTCCATTTTCTAATATATATATTTTTCCCTGTTTCTATAAGTGTTATAATAATACAAGTAAATAATAATTCTTCTCAGTCTTTACCATAAACATACTGTAAATTTAAGTATGATTTACTTGGTCTAGAGACTAAACTGACCAGGATTGTGAATATAAAAATAAACTAGCAAGACCCTGTTCACTCCTTCACTTTCTGCAGAAGTAGTTGCAATATTTTTATGTGTTCAAATAAAATTTTATCATTTCAATCCTCACAATGTAGTTCATATGATCCCATTTGAATTCTGAAAATAGCAGTCTATTTAGATAGTTCTTACCGTTGCACAAAGTGTTATGTCATCCGTTTCTCATTTTATCACAGGAAGTGGATGAGGTAGCCATTCAACTCTTCTCCCCTGTCCTACAGGTGAATAATCAGGTGTCAGGGGGTGGGGTGCTAAACACACAGCTTGAAGGTTTCTGAGTTGTCCCTATAACCCTTGTCTATGGCTTTGAACTCTTGAATTCTAAATTTAATAGTTCCTTTGAAATCAAACTCTCTTATTTTAAACAATTGTGATTTACTTTGTCATTGCTAAACATCTTATAAATTATTAGAAGTAGCTAGAACTGGTAGCTAGAACAAATTTGATATTCTCAGCCTACATGATGCTGCTTCCACTGCCTAAAGCACAGAGGCAGCAGGCAGGTCTCCAGAGGAAGCTATGTGTGCACCTGTAGGTATCTCAATCAAAGGTGACAAAATTGTCCCTAAAGACCTTTGCAAATATTTTTATAAGCTTCTCAGAAGATTTATGCTTAAAGTAGTATATGGGTCAAGCCAGAGTTATGGAATAAGCCAATGGAAAGTTTTCTCTCCCATTGGAGTCTAGTTGCAGACGAGGAAATCTGAAAGGAAGAATTAGACTGATTGTGCCAAATCAGCCTGATGCCAAATATTGGATTTGTAATAAGAAACCTTAGCAAGTACAAGTGTTTTGTTTGTTTGTTTGTTTTCTTCCATTTCCTTGGTTGAACACAGGTTCTACTACTCATGACAACCAGGAAAAAAAGTTTACAAAGCAGTTTGGGTTACTTTTATTTTTACCATTTTTTTAAATATAGTTGTTTGGGTTTTTTTTTTTTTTTTTTTTTTTTTTTTTTGAGGGAAGGTCCTGCAGAGAGGCCTTATAATCCAGGCCTCTGAGACTCACGATGGCCCAGGCTGGAGTATAAATAAAAACCACACCAAGCTCTTTATTATACAGTTTTGAAGATTGTACCAAAACTCAGACAAGCATCAATAGTCTTGAAATCTGGACGGTTAACTTACTTGACAACTAACTACTGAGTTTAAGTGCAATTTGCAACTTCCAAAAAATTTTTGTTTAACGTTAAGATCTGAAGTACGGATTTTAGGTTTGGAAGTAGATAATATAGGGTAAGTGTACATATCCTCCTCCTGATCAGCAAAATAAGAGTGATTTGGACTGATTGAAGAGGTGACGTGAGAAGACACAGTCTTACATAAGAGATAGAGTTGAAAGTTTCTTGGTGTGGCCCAATTGTGTGAAGAAAGCCCGAAGCTATTTCCACACATGGCTGCTGGAGATACCACGGTCAATAAACCTCACTGGGGGGTGTTCCATGTCCTGTGTTGCCTTGGCAAACTCTTACCAAGCCATCACTCTGTGTGAGTTGCTTTCTTGGAGAAGTGGTAGTGGTGGCTGGTCGGGAGAGTTTGGAGTCTGGGAGAGAAGAGAATTGTTGGTTTCAATATCAGTAGCTAACCAATGTCTCTTTTTTTCTGAACCAAGTAGACAATCAGTTTTGTCAGAAGGGATTTAATGTGCTCTACTCTGTAAAGGACAGAGCCCTAAGCAAAGTAAAGTGGAAAACCAGACAAATCAAATGGTCATTTGGGGATTGGAGTTGTCTTAATATGGGTGTACATGATTAATAAACACAAATTTTACATTCGTCAATTCAATGTATTTGTACAAAAATAAAAAGTCATATTTAAAAAATAAAACTCTTGGCAGTTTGAAATTAGAGGAAAATTGACACTACAATCATGTGAACAGAGTAAATACCTCCCTCACCCTCCCCTAAAAAAGTCTGAGAAAGTCAATATTCAAACTGTTCAAATTTTTCAGCTTTCAACAGTACCTGTTTTGTGGGGTGGGGTCATTCTTTGTCTGTGAAAACCAAAATGCTTTTTGAGTTTCTATATCTTCTTAGAATGATTTTGTATATTTTCAAATATTTGGTAAGCATTTAAGTTCATTGCCAGAAATCTCTATGCATGCAGAATCACAGACAGATAGTCTTACTGATGAGCTTTCCTTCCTGAAGGTGAACACAATACCCCATCAGTGGGTATTTTTGTTCTTTTCTAGTCATAGTTATGGGTCACCAACATACCATTCACATAATTTGATTTTGTCAACCCTGGGAATTTTATTCATTTAATTTCATAGGATTAGCAACATCCACTGGCCTTAAGTATAAAATACCAAAATTTGCTTTCAATGTTGTTATACCTTAGAACACTGACTAACTCTGGAGCTAAATAATAAAGATGAAATTATTGATCCATGATCTAAGAAGTTCTGGTTTTAACAGACAAAGACTCATTAAATACTACTTAGGTCTATGGCAAGCAATAACCAAATTTAATTTTAAAATATACATTACTTTACCATGGACTTGAAAAAAAATTGCTTTCAAAACATTGATCAACATAGCACAGGAGACAGCATCTGAGAAAATAAATCAGGCAAATAAATGCAGGAAAGAATCATGGGACTCAGAAAGCATAGTCAAAACAGAACAGGGACACTGGCCAAGGTAAGGCGTGAGTCCAGGGCCAAAGAGCTTTCTCCTCTGGGAGGAGAAGCTGTGGAACCACCAAGGCAGAGGGAAACGATTGCCAGAGACACTATTGGACAACTTAACAATATTTCCTCAATTCTATACCAAACAACCCATGAATTACTTGATAATTTTGCTA